GGGGTTTGCTGGTACTATCCTCGGGTACGTTGAGTACCACTTGTATTGTCTAATGCTTACTCGCCTAGGAAATTACGAGGGAATAGGCGAGCGTCGCCGGCAGGAAATCCACGATAGCTGCTCCGTGTTAGGCATCGTCCCTGGTCGCTGCGTTGTACTGGACAATGCTGAGCTGCAGGATAATCCGAAGAAATGGTGGAATGAGGATCTGATCAAGGACCTTGTTGCGGCGCACGTCCAGAAATGGAGCGTTGATTTGGTATGTCCTTTGCCTTGCGATTAAATCTTAGAAGTTGTACTGATCTCCCAGATCATCACCTTCGACAATGGAGGCGTCTCAGGCCATATTAACCATAGAGCTGTCGGCGCCGGTGTCCGGTTCGTTCGTTCGTTCTCTTCATCTTCGCCTGTTCCTAATGCAGCTAACCAACCAGGAAATACATCACGAGCACCCCGCAAGCCCCGCCCGCATATACACTGCAAAGTACCTTCCTGCTCCGGAAATATTCGTCGCTAATCGACATTATCCCTACCGTCATCCCGTTCTCATGGCGCATTCTCAAAGCTATCCTTACCTCTCCCGCAGCGAGCGCGGCAGATGGCGTCCATGATCTTTCTGCGCTACATGGATACGATGACAAAGTCCTCCTGGTGAGTCCCTGGAGGACGTACCTCGTCTCACGAGCGGCGTTTCGCCAGCACACGAGCCAGTACTCATGGGATCGGTCGCTTTACTTGGTGATTAGTCGGTATATGTGGTTTAACAATTTGAATAAACTGGTATCTTGATGTTGTTCTAGAGGATATATACAAACAATGCCTCTACATAGCAACCGCTACACAGTTGGGCCCTAGGCATAGCAAGATACATATCGAGATACTGAGCAGCGAGTCTGTATTCCCATACAAAATGGCACTTCTAGATTTTGAGCATGTCAAAAATACTTCTATTTATACAATCATGCCTTATGATACATTGTAACTTTTTCTAAGCAGCTATAATCTCGGCTGAAGTTGGAGAGATTACTTTTCTATGTCTAAAAATACCTTCTAAGGTAGACCATCAAATAGAGGCAAATGCTTGAGAATCCCCAGCCGAAAACTGCTCTTTTATATTGGAATTCAGATCCTCTATTCGGAGGCATCTGCCGTTTGGTAACTCACAACGTTACATTGGAGACACTAGCTAAGCGCTCTTGGTCAACGACTTCGGAACAGGCGTGCTTCCCTCTTCGTCCGACGATCGACCGCGCGCACGACGCACACAGTACAACAGTATCATGGTGGTGACAGCAAGGAGACTCAAAATCAATATTGCGAACAGCGCTCGTTGATTGATATTCTTAAACAGCGAGATCAGCCACGCGTCGCGGTTATGCCAGGAGGATGAGCCCAGGTGGTGGAAGAGCGGGGTGTTGACCTGTCCGTTCAGCATGTGCATGCGTGGAGCGTCGGGCGGACCTGACAGGATGCGGAGAGGGGATCGGTTAGACTGGAGGGTGTAGATTGTTCTGTATACATTAGACCCAAGCGTAGTAAAATTTGCTGGGAACTGACGACGCGTAGTGACAGCCCGTGCTGAACATGACCGTCACATAAGGGATGTAAAACCACCGGTAGTTGTACGGCGGGAGGTTGTCGACCAGCGCTTTGATGTACGGATGTCCCGGCGAAGAGAGCATCATGCCGATGGAGAGACCGGCAGGGTGTGCAGCTGGAGCCACAAATTTAAACCGCCGCAGAGGCTCGAGGGATCGTCTACAAGCCAAATCGTAGTCGAGGACCATGCCTGACGAGTCAGCTCCATTATACATGAGCAGGTAGTCGACTCACCACCGTGCTTCTGTAGGACCATATAGCGCAGCGCATCAACCCGTTGAATCATATACGGATAGCTCTTCCACATCAAATATAGATGAGGAAACTCCTCTCGGACGAGCTTCTCTGCGCTCTCCTCGTTCCAGATGAAGCTACTCCAGGACGCGTGATGCTCTAAGCACGTCTCACGGGCCTTGAGCCATTCTGGGCGTGGCGGTCTAGAGCCCAGGTGGATGTGATGTACTATGGGAGGTATCAGAGATGGATGTCCCGCGTCGGCAGTTGAGGAATTGGCCTCGTAGGCGACAAACGTCACGTCGAATTGATCATGTTCATCCGAGATGACTGCAGCGGCAGAGGAGGCTTTCCAAATAAACGGAAGTCGAAGGAGGTAGTATAATTGCTGAAGAGGGGAGGAAAACAGCCCAACGAGAGAAATCGCCAGGAGACTGAGAAGCAATTGCGGACGGCGGGCCATGATTTCTGGCACCGGAAGATTTCCCTAACATTGAAGGTGATGGTCGTGATATCTAGATACATGCCCACTTGCAAAATTGAAGACACTACACACTGCAGGGACAACTGCTGCCTGGAGAGGCTGTAAGCCACATCTATACTGGTCAGTCCAACCAGGTCCCGGATTTGTTAGAATCGATTCCCAGCCCAGGACCGGGGACCCTAATTGGCAACGCGCAGAGCTGACGGAGTGTTGTGGCGCTAAGCCCTGTATGAAGTCCCTGACTCGATGGTGTCTGTCATTGATAACAGCTGGCAGTCTATATATGTGTTTGTACTAATTAATTCCTCTCCTGGTCTTCGTTTCTCTCCCTGGTTTATCTTCAATCCAACGACTAGTCAAGCAGATAACGATGACATTGTAGCTCCTATTGTATCCTACATGTAATATAGGTCAAAGGTTTTCTAATTCCCGCATGTATGACTCGTACCACTTTAGGAAAGTGTTTGCCTAGAGACTTAGCTCTAGTACCTCGGCTGGCAATTGGCATGTTCGGCTCCGCGGACCCTGATGGTTAGGACTTCCTTAGAAAGTTTTATGGTTCTCTTATAGGTTAGTTACCTACTCAATGTTTCGTCCCCGTATGTCCAGGTATGCTCTGATGGACTCCCTTCATCAAGCTCCAGCCTCTCCAAGGCAACAACATTTGGCCATGCATTCAGATCGGAGGACTTGTTCGAGGATGGACGTCCCACACTCAAGGGTCACCATTCCGACGCATGGAATCTCGGCTGTTTTTACTCGAGTGAACCGCTCTAGCGAAAGCTTATCAGACTTCCGAGACCTTGGCTGGTTTAGGACAATGCAACGTCCCGTAAAACAAATATACCGAGTATAACCTAGCCATTTATGTTTATGCCTAGACCGCTCCCTGTGGCTCTGTCCCGTCAGGGAATCGTACAATTACGCACACTAATGTACGCAGAAGATGTAGACGGGAGTTCTAAAACGCCGTGACCTACAAGCCATTTCCTCGGTCTTTCCGAATTTCTAGTGAAGTTAATCCCTGGACCCGTAAAAGATTGTCCATCTGTTGGTCTGTCTCGCATATTTTGACTTTATGGCGTTGGACACTTAACGGGCTATCTTGCTCATTTCCTACAATAACTCACCGGCCTGGAGGGCAATCTGACAAATGTGACTAGGCCTGTGTCTCTTTCTCTAAAAATATTGCGCAGAAATCCTGTTCAACCGCGAGCCATGTCATCGGTGCGTGCCAAACTTCTGCTCCTGGCCTCCAGGCTACTCCGCCTCCCCTCATCGTCAGGGGATTTTTTGCTTCCCCTGTCATCTTGCTGTGGTAGAGCGATTTTTGCCCGGAGGCCGCGAACTCCATACCGCCAGATCGCCCTGTTTGCTCGGATAGCAGTAACAATCCTTTTGTGTGATATCGTACTGACATCCATCTTCTGGCCTTCGTACACCCGCCTTCCACCTTGCTATGAGAACCTCAAAAAAGTGGTTTCCACTTCTAGCACCGCCGGGCGTGGCAACACTCATAATGAGAAAGTATTCATCGCCGCCGTTTTGTACGATCCCCATGGGGAGCTCGCCGGCGGCCAATGGGGTGATGCGCTCGGGCAGCTGATCGACCTACTCGGGCAAGACAACGTCTTCCTCAGTCTGTATGAGAACAACAGCGGGGAAAAGGGCCGACAAGCTCTCGAGGCCCTATCACACCGGATCCCAAGCAACAAGTCTATTGTGGTCGATGTCGATGAACACACTACCTTCGACAGCTTCCCTCGCGTCACACTCCCCAACGGAGAGAGACGCATCAAGCGCATCGACTACCTAGCTGCACTCCGGAACTACGCTCTGCGGGCCCTTGATGAACAGAGCCATTTTAAGTACGACAAACTTATCTTCCTCAACGACGTCTACTTCAAACCCGTCGAAGCCCTCCAGCTCCTCTTCTGCACAAACGCTCATACCCGGCGGACTACCCCAGCCTACCGCGCGGCTTGCGCCGTTGACTTCAGCAACCCGTTCAAATTCTACGATAGCTACGCCACGCGCGACCTTGCAGGATACGGCATCGGCCTCCCGTTTTTCCCCTGGTTCACGACAGCAGGGCACGGAAAGAGTCGGAGGGATGTGCTAGCAGGCCGGGACGCCGTGCGCGTGCGCAGCTGCTGGGGCGGGATGGTCGCGTTCAATGCGTGGTATTTCCAGAAGGAATACCCTGTGCGGTTCCGCGCTAACAATGAGATATTCTGGGATGCGTCGGAGTGTTGTCTTGTGCATGCGGATATGCAGGATGCGCCGGGCGTTGTAGACGAGATTCAAGATACGGGGGTGTATATGAATCCGTTTGTGCGGGTGGCTTATACGCCGAGGACGTTGATGTGGCTGGGGACTACACGGCGGTTTGAGCGGTTATATGCGTGTGTGCATGATCTGCTGAACAGGGTTGTTGGGCTGCCGTGGTATAATCCGCGGAGGACGGAGGTACCGGGAACGAAAGTGCAGCAGGAGGTGTGGGTGCCGGGTGAGGGAGGACGGGGTGGTGGTTCGTTTCAGACGGTGGAGGTGACGGGAGGAAATGATGGGTTCTGTGGCCGACGGGGAATGGAAGTGGTTGTGGAGGATAGGAAACCAGGTCAGGATGGGTTCGAAGCTCTACCTGTTCCGTCTCAATAACGTTATATATAGGTATATACTTAATTAGAACAATATATCATGTATGAGGGCGGTTGGTCCACTCCCTGCGCAAACCATGCGCTGTCCGACAGAATTTCCATACTCTACTATATAGGCTTAAATTTTCTCCACGATCCGTGCACTTAATGGCGGAGTCGCGCAGATGGATCTGTCGGGGGTTTTGAGCCTATATTACCATGTTTGCCTGCTAGGCTATGCCAGTCAGCAACTCAGTGCACAAATCAATAGATAATCTCACCTAAACCCAGTAATCAGAAGGACCAAGATATTATCCACAAACTTACTAGTAGTAAAGAAGCTACAGAAGTAGGAGCTAAAGGCGTAAGAACTAGAGCAGACTTTACTTTATATTTACTTGTTATATATATATACATGTTTTAAGGGCTAGGTTAGTCTTGAAGAAAAGTATTAATTACTTCTATAACCTGGTGTTTGGAATATATATTTAGTTTGAAGTATCTATTGTTCTAATAGTTAAATGATCTTCTACTTTCCGAAGGCCATATTACACACACATAATCATATATTTAAATTGATTGGGCAAGTAACTCACGGAGTTCCATATCTGTCTACATATCAGTTTCTTATCTCTACTATTATTAGTTGTAACTAGTAGCCGCAGTGAAGTCGGTCAATATATAAACCAATTAGTACAAAGCCCTAAGCGGCTAATAGGTCATGTAAGGAAAAAAGATATAGCGGTGAGCTCCTGCTTGGTTAGGAAGAAGGAGAAAGATTCCCTATTTTACCCTTAAGTGGATGGAGGCAACCGCTGGTAAGACAGCCAGCTGTACAGATCGCATCTCATATACACTGTAGACAGTGACAGTAGCCCAACAACATTTGTAGGACAATGAGACGCCACTTCAAAGGAAAGATGCAAATTACAACTACCTCTCTCTCATAGTACAGTTGCCTTATGTGTTATTTTTAATACTGATTGGTCATGCACCTATTTCTGCATGGATCTCCCCGTAACTATCTGTATCCATCACTGTTTCTAGGTCACAGCAGTGTGCAGCAGTGTCATATTATGCCCCTACGCTGCCCCTAAGACTTATATTTCAACACACCTTGTCGGACATCACTCTAACTGTCTCTCATATCAGTATGTTTGCCGTATTAGGAAGCGTATAAAGATTGCTACAATCGTCTCCTGTAACTCCCCCTACCTTTGTCGACAGACGCATCCAAAAGCCGCCGCTCCAGGATGTCCCCTTCGCAAAACCCTGCCTACAAAGGCGATTTAGCACGCCGGTCCATACGCTTTGCTTCACAGGCCAGCTCAAGATATTCAGGGTAAAGACATACTCCCTCAATCTGTCAGCGGTACTCCAAGAGATACAGTCCCGGAATATTCAGAACGCCAGTGTCGTCTTGCGGTATCTATAGTACAAGGGTGCACTCCGGACTAGACGGCATTGTAAAAGGCAACTCAACGACTAGGATATAGATCTCCCAGCTACTCGTGTCCGCGTCATTCTTCCTAGCCGCTCAGTGACTTCCCAGGAAGCAAAAATATTTAAAATTTTAACAGATTGTTTCGACCTACAATCAATGCTCGCAGCGTTGACAGACCAAGGCATCAAGTATTTACCCCTTTCGAGCGGCTGGTAGAGCAAGGGACACGCGTTCATCCGCACCCTGTCCTCGCTATGGCAACAGAACCCCAGCTGCTTCCCATACCCCTTCCGCAAGGTGTATTCCACCTCGAGGTCACTGATGAAGTAATTCGGCGCAACCTGCAATTGACGAAGACGATGGAAGGTCACCCTGCCTATTACCACGGTCTATGATCAGACCGCACCTGCCGTACGTGGAGCTTCCCTATAATCAACAGCGACTCGTCTCCCCCCAGCACCACGATAATACTTTGATTGTTCTCCAAACCGGGATTCAGAATGTATGGGGAGTGGGCCTGCCCCTCTTTTATAACTCGGACACTGGACCTTGACTCGAGCTCTGGCCAACGTATCACCAGTGCTCGCGGGCTTGAGTCGAACGGTGTCATCCCTCCGCTTGTTTCATTCCAATTGCTAATCTCCGGGTTCGGAAGTTTGAGTCCCTGGAAAGCGGATTAGCCATATAATTATCCCGCGAGGCCCGGTATACCGGCGGTCGTATTGGGCCTTAACTGACTTTGGCACGACATAATTCCATAATATTATCATCTCGGTCTCCATTAACCGGCACCCAGTCGCGGTACGCTCCCTCATCCGGCATATCAGTCATCGCTATTAGGGAGGCCTAAAGCCGTAGTTGACAAGCGCGTCAGAATCATGACTTACGGAGTCCGAACGGATCTAGAGACGCCTTACGCTTGATCAAAACTCCTTCGAGTCTACCTCTGCTGTGTTTGCACGGAGCCCACGGAACGGATCGCATACAACAATGCAGCGGTGCTGCTTTCCAAATTGTGAGAGGGAATAGATGCCAGGGATATTGCCTCGGAACAACTTTTGACCCTGAGGAGTATACCGTTTGCCCTACACCCATCAACAACTGCTGTCAAGCACGGGCCCAGCAAACTCCCGGAACACGCAGACGTGGTCGCCTCTAAGGCTCGCAGTTGTCCCAATATTTTTGTACAGGCTTTCCCATTTCCATTGCAACAACTATCAAACTCTCTGGTGATAGCAACGATCTGGGGAGGACCGGTTCCTCGTGGACTTCCATCGGTATACGCGAAATATATTATCCGAAGAAACCTCAACGAATCATCCGCCAAGCACCACAGCTTCGAACATTTGGTTGAAAATACGCAGGACGAAGCATACAGACCCCTAGCGTTTGGGTTAAGGACTGTTGGCCTCTGGTGGCCGCTCCTTGACACGCAATCTTCAAACCCGTACGAGCTACAACTCGCAATAGTCGCTAACAAGCAACGGGAGCGACAGCGCAGTCTGATGCCGGACAAACAAACCACTCCGTACAAGCTTCCTCACGCACATCCTCGCTTGCCTGACGGCAGCTAGGCTGACGCGCGGAAGTCTCGACTGGCCGGCCGTACACTACACATGCTCCCGTCAACCAAAAGGGCGTCATGGTCACGCACCATGGTTTCTGCGGGATCCTTGCGCGCCCAGCCGGATCATCTTTGCAATCCAAAAAGCGGGCGAAGCCGACATCAACCTGAGATCCCAGTTTCACTTTCTTTTCTCAACCGCCACCATGAGTGTCATCAAGACATGCTCTCCCTGTCTACACCGGGGCAGAATCTGTGATTCTAACCCCGATGGATGTTCGTGCCCCTGAGAACTGACCCGTTTATTAAATCTAACCATAGTTCAGGCCATCGCTGTCTAAGAGGCGCATTTATTTGCCCCTGTGATTACCGAGAATGCCCTACAGTGCCTCAGCCGGGATGGACCAGCGACGCTGCCCCTCAAACCTCAATCGCCGCGGTTTCTCATGTCCCCTCACAGCAGATTGCCCACGACCATGCCGATCTTATCCAAAATGTCAGTCAACTCTACCAAACCCTCGTGGATATGCAGTATATCCAAGGAAATGATATTCTGCGACCACCACAGACATGGGCGCAGTTGAATCTGGCTGCTCTAGTCGATCCTGGATACCGCCCAGACACTATTGCGCTCTTGCTTCAAATGCCACATATCAGGTCGAGCTCCGTGGAGATCGCGCCACAGGAAACCCTTCCTTTTCCTTACCTCAACCTTAGGGACCTCCACACAGTGTCAGGCACCAACAACCCACGCGACCCGCTGGACCACCCCGACGAAGAAAACTGGACCATCCCACCATGGGCATTCTTTTTCACGCGCCCCGCAGCGCATCGTGAGGTAGACTTTGCCTACTGTCGGATCTACGATGCTAGATCCAAATCGCTTGGGCTTTGGTCAGACTCCTTACGCCGACTTGACAATGAACCCCCACGCGCGCTTTTCCTCATCGATGCACGGTCACCAGGGGAAGTCATCGGTGAATGGATTGGGGCCCTGAAGTCTCTACAATGGGTTCCGTCGCTTTCACAGGCAGAGGGGAAAATTTATACCCCCGGCCAGCGAGAAGTCTTAGACCAGATGCTAGGGTTGGCGCAGACAATGCCAGCTGGATTTGTGGACGGGCTTATCGGAGTTGAGAGACGGCGAAATAATATGTACTGGGCACAGAGGCGTTTGTATGAGGAGTGTGGATGGCCTGATCACTTGCACCCGGGGGAACTTACGCGACGGAGAGCGGAGTGGAATGAGACTGTGGCCCGGTTGTCGGGATCTCCAGATGAACTAGAAAATTATTATCGTCGTCTCGCGGGAGAGCACGCTATTTAAATTTCACTCGCTTGGCGGATCTATAATTCGCTAGTAGGCTTTCGTGGTGGTATGTTTGAGGCACAACATATGGATATTGGGGGGTCTTCGTTCTCATCAGTCCTCGCCGTTTCCTAATCTCAGTTTACCTAGAAGATGGTCTCTTACGAATCAGAAACACAGTAGGCATAGCCAGGCCAGATGTTGCTACAGGTCTCGTCGATGGCTGTGTTCCACTCGAGGAATTGAGCCAGGGTGATCCCATCCGCGGAGTAGATCGACCCGCACGAATCTCCTGTCTTCACACATACCATTTGTAGCACGATCTGGTGGTCCCTGGCATTGTTCAAGTCGGCACCCAACCATTGCCTTGATGCTATTACTTGGTACTCGCCAAGACTGTTGTCGTTGCGGTAGTCGATGGTGGAGTGGCAGTCGAAGTGACTGTGGGAATTATCGTCCCATCAACTGCAGCAACACAGTCATCGATTCCTGCTTGTTAACCTCATCAGTGAGATAGATCATATTGTCAGGGCTATGGGGCAAAGCTAACCGTAAAGCAAGTTTCAACATCTGGCGTCAATGGACGGGTTCATGGCGACCAACTTCTGCAAGGCTGACGTGCACATAAGCACTAGCCGGCATGTCTGCCTTGTACTGCAGTGTCTTCTTTTAGGCGCCTATTCAGCCTTGTGCAGAAGTCAGAAGAATTATATATATCCATATATTTTCTCAATACTTCCCTTAACTCCTCCTATCATTTACCTTTATCATTGCTTTTCCTATGCCAAAATGAGCGCTATTCAGATACCCCCTCCAGTCCGGTTAAAACACCCGGACGTTAACAGTGAGGAAAGACCTTCTACGGCAGATATCATTCACAATATTCCTCAATTAAGACGTGATAGATTGGTTCTTCTCGGGTTGGATACGCTGTTCTCACTTTTCCGTTCAGCAACCCCTACGCTACCCCTGTCTAATACCGATTCCGCTGCGGCTCCTTCAGGAGAGCAAAATATCCCTTTACAGCCACAACCCATTCGCATCCGGAATCGTGGCCATCTAAGAAGAGGACGATCAAGGCTCTTGACCGCAGACGGGTCCAGAAATCAGATCACAGAAGGTAGTCTTAGGGATCGATCCATCTCTCCCTGGCAACAGGAGGTTACAGACACTCGACGGATATTACACAGCAATCGGAAAAAGGAGATACAACAAGTGCTTGGCCCGTTACTTGAGGAGAGCACAGAAAATGTACTTCTGCTCTGCTGGGGTTACAAGGACCACTGCCACATTATTCCCACAAATATCCGCCATGAAGCAGACGAAGTGGATATCTGGGAAAGTATCAAAGCAACATGGTATGCACGCAGAGGTTATTGGAGAAGATACATCCCCCTCTATGGAGTGCAACAAGTGGATATTGTTGAGGTATGTATTTACGTAAACAATAGAGGCATCGCCGCTCATTCTCCTTTCCTAAAACTAGTTTATAATAGAGGGACACGAATCTGTGTGCCTCGGAGGAGCAATATCAAAAGTTCAGTACCTTGGCTTGTACCGAGATACTGAGCCAGCAAGGAAGAGTCAACTTAAAGATAGGATTGCAAATTATGAGCCACAGGAACCCCCATGCCCATACGATCCGTCAACAGGTACAGTGAATTGCTTCATAAACAAGTGCATATCGTACATGGAGGACAATGTAGATTGTCCTGAGAGGTGTCTCTATGAATCCCAACGTCAGATACTGCACCTTAAAAGGCGATCGCTGCTGACCCAGGCCTTTTCAAATGGAAACGTGGCGAAGGTAAACAACCTTCTCAGGAACGAGAGATTAGTTTATAGTCATAGGTAAGAGACCCAAGTCGTAGTTAGTGCAACCACAGGCCAACGCCAGCAAAACAGTGATGTGCTAAGGAAACTTGATCGATGGCATGTTCCGGATCTCAGCGAGATTCCATTCCAGGCCTTGCTGATTACAGAAGGCTGGGACCTTGGTGCACAGAGCACTGTTATACTTCTAACTGCGTCATTCTTTTTTCTTCTAGTTGTGTTCTCCAAGATCATTTACAATGACTGGGGAATTTTGTGGAATGTGGCTTGTTTTTTCGTTTCATTGGCCGGACTGATTCTGATGTGGGCAAACCATGCGATTCGTCGATAGGATTTACCGTGCGCTTAGATCAAGGGATTCGTTCATTGGAGCTCTTCCATTATATGGGTTATATGACAAAGCTGATAGGACGCGGTTTAAATGTGGTATATTTGTAATAAGTTGCCCCTATACCTTGCCAGTCTACCTACACCAAGGCTGCACGGTCCCTAGGATACGACTATAGCAGACTCTATATGCAGTCGAATGCCTTTATAGTAACTCTTCACCACTCCATTCCTACTTTGTTTGATTGCAGCAAGTTTGCCAGCATGTAGGTCACTGCTTCCTTTGCGCCGCTCGCGTTTCCTAATTTCTTGTTCTGGAGTGGGTGGACATTCCGGGGGCGCCTGTCCTCCTATAGGCTGTAGCCCCGCGTTTGTTAATCTAATATGGGTGGTCTTGTGATTTCACTTCCGGTTGCCTGATTTCCATCGCCTCCGTTGTTGTCTATAGAGTTGCTAGGGTCACTATACCTCCTATTACAAAGAGACAGTCTTTACATGCTACTTCACTAGCAGCTAGCGTCGGATCTGCGAATATAGTGCAAGGTAGAGTCGACGCTTATATTAGACTGCTTGCCATTATCGACAGTGCAGACTCCAGTCAAACCAGTTTGGCAATCCGCCAATGGATTATGCACTTCGCCTATTCTTGCCAACACCACTCTCTAGCATGTAGAGCACATTAACCGGCACTGAATTACAACCCTACTTTACATTTAGGCTTGGGAATGTAGGCTTAGGGAATGAAATAACCCGCGTACGGAGCAATTCCGGACTCAATTAGGCAAAGACCCCGCCCTTTGCTAGCTTCTTTGGAGTCTCTTGTCGTAAGATTTCCAGGGTCTTCCCCAGATATATTGACTTTTTGAGACAATAAACGACTCTGCACGGCAATTCTCCCTGTAAGGCCATTGCCGAATGAGGGGAGGTGGCTACTAAACCCTGCAATAGCTGGCCGTCTAGACCACGATTATATCCTTTCCTGTTCGTCCTACTCCTAGAAATTATATTAATGTGCAGTCAGCTCAGCAGCAGTATGCTTTATTAGGCTCCATTTCAAAGATTCTAAGTTTGAATGTCTGGATAAATTCAAGAAAGACAAGCTCTACACAATGTGTTTGGTAGATATTTAGCCATTTTTGAGGTCCAAGAAGTGTGAGATGAAATAGGTTGGACTTAACCTGCGCCTAATACTAGACACTGAATAGTCCTCCGGTTAGAGAATATAAATACTCCTCGGATTCTCCTGAAGAGCAGTTGAAAGTTGCTACCTCACCAGTCTTTCCTATCCCCTAAAGCCAGACCTAGCGATTTTACGGCCTTCTCCCTGTGTGAGTTCCCTACTCCTAGGGCATACATTTGATTGAATTACGATGAAGCCAATTGCAAACATGAAGGGGGCCATGCTTCTTGCATTTTCCCTAACTGCTGTAGCGCAGCAAACTCTCTATGGCCAATGTAAGTTCACTCCGAACCAAGCAACAATTAACAAGGCTAATAACCAACTACCCAAGGTGGTGGCAGTGGCTGGAGTGGCCCAACCCAATGCGTCAGTGGTGCATGCTGCATGTCTCAGAACCCTTGGTATTCCCAATGCCTACAGGGGAACTGTATGACAACTACGAGTGTGTCTACTACTAGGACTACGAGTGTGTCTGTTACTACGACGACATCGACTGGCTCCTCACCGTCTTCAACCAGTGTCTCCCAGGGGTGCGGCAAGTCCCCGACGTTGAGCAGTGGAACACACACAATGACGGTGAACGGTGCGACACGCCAGTATATCCTAACCCTTCCACAGGGTTACGATAGCAGTCGACCCTACAAGCTTATTTTCGGCTATCACTGGCTAAGTGGGACAATGCAGAATGTTGTCAGCGGAAATTACTACGGAGTTCAGCCACTAGCTGGTAACAGCGCCATCTTCGTTGCTCCACAGGGAAAGAACAATGGCTGGGCTAACAGTGGTGGGGAGGATATCACCTTCACTGATCAAATGCTGTCAACACTCCAGGGAGACCTTTGCATCGACAAGACACAAATCTATTCAATGGGGTGGAGTTACGGTGGCTCGATGTCCTATGCGCTTGCTTGCGCCCGTCCCAACGTCTTCCGGGGTGTTGCCGTCATGTCGGGAGCGAACCTCAGTGGATGTAGCCCCGGTACACAGCCGGTGGCATACTATGCGCAGCATGGGGTTTCTGACACAGTGCTGTCCATTAGCCTAGGACGTCAGATTCGAGACACTTTCGTTAAAGATAACGGCTGTACTGCTCAGAACCCCCCAGAGCCTGCGGCGGGAAGTGGAACACATATCAAGTCTGTTTATTCCGGATGCTCATCTGGCCATCCGGTGTGGTGGATTCCGTTTGATGGTCCACATGAGCCGCTGGCAACTGATAGAGGCGCCAGCTCTTCTTGGACTCCAGGCCAGATTTGGGACTTTATTTCACAGTTTAGTTAGTCACGATCCTGTTGCCAATGGCACTTGTCGGATCTGGGGCAATCAGAACGGCACGTGGTATTTATATGGGAGGACACAGTATGGAAATGAAACGAGGCGGGCGTACCTCTCTAGGTATATGAATGCTTATCACATTTGCGTAGGTTCAATGCATACTCAGAGAAACAATGTTCAATGAGCGTCTCTCGAGGTCCTAAGCAGATGAGCATGTATGCGTGGAACTTTTTACAACTCATTGTGTCCGAACAGAGTCTGCTTTCCCTGCATTATCAGCAAGTTTTGTCTCCTTAGCAGCGACATCCTCGCTGCCCCGTCAGCAGCCATTGTAACTTTGCTCAGTGACCCGCCTAGGATAGGTACGCTATCTCCCAACACTTCCCTGACTGCCCGGCGGACCAGGTCTCCATCGACCCAGTCAGTGAGGATAGCGACCTGGTCGAAGAATTCTGCTGGACTAGTCATAACCTCTGCACGTATGTTAGTGGGAGGCCAATGGAGAGAAGTCCAAGAGAGAAGAAGTAAACAGACCCTGGGTGGCACGCAAGAAGAAGTTAATCGTATTCGCCAGCCCCTTCACATACTCCTCATCTGCAGCCAAAACCATCTCCCTCGTAAGCTTCACACCGGGATTGCTTCCATAAAGCCACCACTTATCCAACTCCAGCGGTACGTCCTCTAGATACTCGCCCTTAGAATTGTCTGCTATAGTAGTATAGAAGTCCGCTGAGCGCGACTCTGTCCCCAGATATACAACCGACACGTCCTGCCTCTTGAGCTGCAATCTCGCCTGTGCCACACAGGCAACAAGGACATGTCGATCTGCCCCAACTTCAAGCTGAGTCTGTAGCTCCTGATTTGATCTGATTAGTGACTCTGTGAGTCGCCGATGAATAATCTCGCTACGCCACGGGTCAAGTCGGAGATATGCATCGCGGGTAGCAGGATTTTTAAGTGTCTTCTTCATGGCATTCCGCCTCCGCGATGATTTACTACTAGAACTGCCGCTGCCGCCCTCGAAGTAGACCCGAATGCCACAGTGCTCAGCCCCCTGGTGCAAAACAAGGACAGTAGCGCCTTCCCGGATAGTGGGATTCTCGAAGTGGGTGAGCAAACTCCGCGGCAGCGCATGGGAAGGAGTCTCGATGCCAGCCTTGCGGGAGGCGTCAACGACAATCTCGTTTATAGTTTCGTTGAAGAAGTCCGGGATGCCTATGATGGCGAAGGAGAGTTTGGTGCCGGTGTCGGCGATAGCGGAGGCTTGGAGGTCCTGGAACACACGGATAAACGTCTCGGAGATTCCGGAGAGGGTTAACGGCTTTGGGCGCTCTTGTGAACGTCTGAGAGCAGTATCGATAAGACGTTGGAATTGTGTGGCGAGGCTCACGTAGACCTGGCTGGTTGTGCCGGTAATGAATTCGACATAAGGGTGGTTAATGTATGGAATTTTGGCAGTGAGCTTGGAGGTAAGGCGTGAGGTTATGACCTTGAGCAAGGCATATGCGCTCCCATCGCGGTTCCCAAACAAGCTTTTGAGATCGGAGCGTTCAAAGTCCTCGGCGGCTAACTGGGAGACTAGGGCGGTGTATTCGGCATTGTTCACTACTGCTAATGGAGTGAATAGGGTGGACGAGTTGGCATAGGACGCGGCGCTGCAATCATATACCGGTTAGCCTGCCTGTGGACAGACGAGTTCTGGGAACCTCACATGTACTGATATCCCAGATCGATTCCTATCGGCTCATTGATATTGCTGTAGTCGCAGAACCCGACATCGGCGATACTGGAGACTGGACTGAGGAGCAGGAGTAGTCCAATAACTATCGAAGTAATGAAGTTTGAGCTTTGAAAGACTAACATTTTGGGCGCATCCTTCTTATGGACCCTGGCGGAAATAGCCCCTTTTATGTCACCCGGCTCGCGAAAGAATCCACCGATTTAGTCTGATCGCCTAGCGCAGACTAGTCCTTGTCGCCTAGCAGGCACCCACTTCCAGGATCAAGCAGGGACAGAATACGTCCTATTTTCGAGGCTGGGTTATGGCTTATAGGTGTGCTAATCGTGCAATATAAAGTTCCTCTTCTCGACTCCCCGGATCATCGCAAAACTGTCGATCACTCCGCAATCTCCAAGCTTGTTTCAAGAATCAGGTGGAGCCGATTGAAGTTTAGCAGGTCGCTAAAAGCACTAGTCTCCCGCAGGAGCCTCTAGGGGTCGACTCTCCACTTTAAACCTGATTGGGTTTCTAAGACACGGAAAGCCGAGCACTGCGTACCTAGGTATACCACGACGATGTGCCTGTGATAGCGGGCCTTCGGACCTCTTTGGCGAGGCCCGATTGATGGTGGTGTCAGAGATCCAAGCCAGGCGGTATCTATAGTTGATGCTCTTTACAGATCTATAGAATGCTGTCTAAATGTGGCCTTATACGTACCATCGAGTTCCTCACTAGAAAGCCATGAGATCATAATATTATCCCCAATAGAATCTTAGTCGGGAGAGGGAGAGCCCTATAAGATACTAATAACGCAATGCCTACACAAAATAGCATATATTCAATGCTCCCATAGCTCTAGATAATAGATATGTATCCTTGGCCCTACATTTCATGGTTCAAAGGTAGATAACACTGCAGCCTTTAGGCTAGGCCGGCAAGGTGAAGCTATAGCTTTGTTAGATGCGTTTCACTTATCCTTCCTAATGCTATGCAGTAAGCATTAACGCACTTTAGTTTGGAAATAGATCTTGTTTTTAGTTGAAAGCCCATATAATCACTGTAATATATGGTCAATACATTAAGCATGTATAGGCAATTATAGTACATGAAGCGGAAAACCATCGATGGTCATAGAGCCCTAGCTTTGACGCCCCAGACTCTCTTCGCTAGGGTTCTGCTGTTCAAGCGCTTGATCGGCTGGGACGGTTGTAGGGGACCTATATGTATTATTAGAAGTCGGGCTGTAGACCCCACCGCCACTGCGATGGCTCTTCCTAACACGGCTGGGTAGCTGGAAGGTGCCGGTGCGCTGTCGAATTCGGGCTATGAACGAAGTGTTATGTAGCTTGCGGATCAGCGGGCGGATAGTACTCATACTACCGGCTGCGATACCTAAGTTCGCTTCGACGTTGGACCAGATGGAGACCTGCCATGTCGCGTAAAGGAACTCCTTGTCCTTATAAGTGGGTAGGAACGGAATGCGGATGATAACTGCAGCGCCAGCGACCATTCCCAAGCCTAGGATCACGGCCAAAGAGAACTTGGTCCGGGG